AAGCAAGCTGTACACTCACTACTTTACATTGTAGCAAAGTGTCATTTCTTCAGTGTTGTCACATGAAAAGATATAATAAAATATTTACAAAAATGTGAGGGGTGTACTCACTTCTGTGAGATACTGTGTGTGTGTATATATATATATATATATAACAAGAATATATGATTGTAACAGTATGATTGTTACCGGGGCATAATATGCATATCTCAGGCTTCAGACAAATCTCTTCTGGGCAGACGTTTTATTGAGGACAGCCATGATCCCATGTCGTAGCACAAAATGGTGTGGTGTCTCTTGCAGTAATCTACCTAGCTTGGGAATGTACTGTATGTATATGTATATGTATGTACACTAATGCAGCACTGCAAAATATTGACTTCTACAGTATATATTTCTATAGCCCATGTTTGTGAAAACCGTAGTCTTACACGCTGAAATGCAACCGAACCTTCGCTGGAGGATGTTTTTAACAATCTTAATGGTTTGACGTCGAAGCAAATCAGACGATTTTGTGGCCTTTGGTATTTGCTGTGCTTTCGTGAATGGTTTTTTGCTATGTTACAATATGTCAAAAACAATTCACTCTACTATGGCACAATGTAACAATATTTGTTTGGACCAAAAGGAACATTTGTGGGTTTAAAGCCGGTTTGGAGGTCGAGGTCTTTTAAATGGGAGATCTTGCCGTCCTTAAATGTTAGAATCTCTCTGTTTTGATTTTCCCAGTGTGTTTTAGAAGAAAGCATTCCACGATACTTCATCTTTCTGGCCCAGAGAGATGAAATTATTTCTGGAGAAAATACAAACCCACGTGTCAAATTTGATTCATTGAGTTGCCCTGAATCAAATTACAGCAAGTCCAAAATATCCTGCACTTCATTTAAAGATGCATCATTATTGTCTGCTATGATCCTTCAGAGCATTTTATTAAATCTGAACCTTGATTGTAGAATCCCTATTTTATAATGAAAATATATTTCAGAATATATGCAGTGGTACAGTGATGTATCGTATGAAGAGTAATAAATAAATGCAACTCAAAAAACAATGTTTAAGTGTTACATTGTAATTCCTTGCATGTGCTTTTGTTGAATTCTAGAGTTGTAATAGTGTGGATTGGCCATCAGGGGTCAGTCTACTGTAATGTCTGATGCGATCTGACTAGCATATGCTTTCCTGCACTGAATGTGTTTTCTTATCTGTTAATTAATAACAACTGTGGTTTCCATCAGGAATTGCTTTTCTCTTCATTGCTTTATAAAGTGCTGACAATTTTTCAAATGTCTGGACACAGGAATTTGTGCTGTGTTATATATAGTGTGAATGAACACTGTATATAGAGCATGTCATCCACCAAGAAGACCCACATGGCATCTGTGCTGCAGAACTCCACAGAAAGCTCCACAGATTTAAAACTCCAAAGGTTCTATGCATCTACTTGTGTATTATTTTAAATTAATTGAGTGATTCGTTCACCTTCCATATTCTCAGATCTGTTTTAAGAAATAGTCCATTCCACAGATTCTCCCCTAACAGCACAGAAAATGCAATAAAAGTCTGCAGATTCCATCTAGACTGGTGTATAAGGAATTTTTTTCAACATTAGTTAACAGTGAACACAGCTTTGAGTAATCTCTATATAAACATTGCCAGTTGTACAGTATACATTGCCATTTAAAGGCATAGTTCATTTCTAAATTAAAAATCTGCTAAAAATGTACTCCATCTAAAATGTAAGTGAGTTTGTTTCTTTATCAGAACAGATTTGGTAGAAATGTAGCATTACATCACTTGCTCATCAATGTATCCTCTGCCGTGAATGGGTGCCGTTAGAATAGGAGTCCAAACTGCTGATAAACACATTGAAATAATTCACAAGTAATCCACACCACTCCAGTGCAACAAAAGTGTTTATAAGAAAATTCATTTAAATTCATCAAAGAAAAGAGGGACAAAGTCCATCCCCTGTTGTCCTCTCACATCAAAATCCACCGACATTTGTTTAGAACTGGTCTGTTTTCGCTTGTAAATGGCACTTGATCTGTGCATATTTTTCTCCTGATTCTGACTTTTTGCACTGGAGAAAGCAAAATTATAGATAGAGGACTCATATTTTAGCTGGAAGCAACAGTTAGAAATTAAAAAGAGCTTAATGATGGATTTTTATGTCACAGGATATTTATTGATGGGCTGGAGTGGTTTGGATTACTTGTGGATTATTGTGATGTTTTTATCAGCTGTTTGGACTCTCATTCTGACGGCACCCATTCACTGCAGAGGATCCATTGGTGAGCAAGTGATGTAATGCTGCATTTCTTCAAATCTGTTTTGATGAAGAAACAAACCCACATTTTAGATGGTCTGAGGGTGAGTAAATTTTCAGCAAATTTAAATTTTTGGTGAAGTAATCTCTTAATGCATTTACATGAACATGAATTAACATTGAATTATAGTATATTTTAAGAAATGTCCATTAATGTTGATCGTTCATTATATCGAATTCATTAATGCTAACAAATTAACCTTTTAAATGCCTTCAGCACTTTGGAACGTATTGAATAGACTTTTAAAATACACGTTTTTGACGTGCTTTTCTCCTTCATCCATTAATGAATTCATTAGGACTGTTTTGGCACTATTTTGATAAAATCTGATGTTTTTTCCTGCATATAATGAACTACACACAGCTCTGAGGAGCTTGACCTGAACTTCCCTGGCTGAAAGATCTGAACATCAAATGTAAACCTGCTGTTTTGGCATACTAACTGTGGCTCTGACGCTGTCCCTCTGTCCCTGAGTCAGAGTAACAGATCCGGACTGCTCTCTCAGGACTCAATTTAGAGACGGGCGAGTGATTCTAACAGGAATTCTGAATCAAGGAGGACAGACATCTGGCCTGCTTTGTTGAGAGCCAAAGAAAAAAATCAGGATTGCATCCTAAGAGGTAAGGACAAAAGCAAATTCATGACAAGATTGAATAAATAGTTGTTTTAAATTCATCCTCAACAGTACTGAAAGCATTGCAACTGCTTGCTGTTTTGGCTTGTAGTTTGATCCGAATCTGGCTAGGCTGCAGAGACGCTGTCTGCTGGAAATACTTATGCCAGATGACATGCTGTTTGGATGAAGGACACAAATGATGGCCAAAGAGTTTGTGCTTGTAGACACATGCTTAAAACAGAGAACAGCATAGTTATATTTGTCTTCATTCTAGTGCTTAGTAGGAACACTTTCACTTTTCTGTAATAAAAGGTTTACAGCATAAGTTTTAAAAGCATAATCCACCATTTTAACAATCAATGGGAAAATTACAAAAGGATAAAGTCAGCCGTTTATATTGGGAGTCTGCACCACATTGACGTAAACAATGAAAAGAGCCTCAGTGCTGTTCTCAATTAATGGAGGAGACTTTGGAGGAATCCAAAAACATTTGTAGAGTGTCTTTATCAAATCATATCAAGAAGAAAAACACAACTTAATGTTCTTAAACGGTTCATTATTCTCACAAATATTAACAGAATAATATACAGTATGCACACATATACTAAATTCTAAACATATTCTACTGTTTGCCAAATAGAATGGGATTGAATTAATTAGTTAAAAATGAATTATTTTGCAGAATGTCCAGGCTGCTATTTTTCGTATAACAAATGTGATTGGGGGTGGAAAAAGCCATTTCACAATGCATGATACCAGATTGGACATTGATTCACATTAGGGTTGCACAATTTGAAAATCTTTGAAAATAGTGTTTTTTTTTATATAAAAATTAAAACCACAATAAGGGATACTATTATAATATTTAATTGTAAAATAAAAAATTGAGAATTAAAAAAAAATAATAATTTAATCATTCCATTTTAATAGTATGATTTCCAAAAACTTTAAATATATATTACATGGGTTTTGATACATTTATGGTGCTTTTTCGTCATTTTGTGAACTTAATAGACCTGTTCCCATTTACTTTTGCTAAATGGAAAAGAGCTGCCAGGACATTCTGCTAAAAATCTCATTTTGTGCTCCACTGAAGAATCAAAGTTTGCAACCACAAGAAGATGAAAAAATGACAGAATTGTAATGCCCCTTTAAATAATAATGACATTTTCTATGATAGTTCTATTATATTAAGTTGTTTAACTCAATATTGAATGTGTCACAGGTTAATAATACACAATGCAAGAGAAGGGAGAACATTTTTTGTCTTGTAAAAACCCATCTCTGTGTAATCAAACTGTTCTCTGTCCCAGATATCTCCTGCATTGTACTTTCAATATTGCAGAGCTGAAAAAAAAAAATCAGGTCAGTGCCCACTGTTTTAAGAAATATGGTTACTTCTTTCACATATCAGCATATTGGCCACCGTTCACCTCACCCCTTCTTCACTGCTTTAAACATTGTGTCAAGCTAGGACAGACCCTGTTTCCCCTTCATCACAGGCTCTGTGGTTTGTGCTCTTTGTCAACATTTTAGTGCTGTGAGTCAGAGAAGCACACTGGAGTTTCTGTGATTAAGACTCATGGTTAGCTGTATTCTCTTTACACTCTGCACTACCTCAATCAGTTTCCCTCTCAATGTCACAGACTTGCATTTTTTTTCTTCATATTTTTCTACATCTTTTTATAGTATGTCTTGTACCTATTTAATAAAAGCATTGTGCTAGTTGAATACTGTAGATTGTGCATGATGAGGCATTTTCACAACCTGCTCCCCATCTGAATCTTGGGAGCCTTCTGGCTGATATCCCCCTCCTCCGTCTCGCTGTTTCATAACTTTTCTTTTTCTTTCTCTCTCTGCATCTCACTCTGCTCTCTCAGCTGTATGTTCTGGTTCTTTCCCTCCCCCTCCCTCCTTTATGCACAAGTTTCCTGCTCTCAGTACTTTTATACCAGATTCTCCTTGCACCCCCCT